ATAATCCCATATTCACTACAGCACCTTAAAAAAAAGACAAATTACACCAAATCATTTACAGTTACAAAAGAATTTCTGCTTATTTGGTGCATCCTTTAGGTAATTCTAGTGGAACTTGACTTTAAATGAGTCATGCAAGTAAATCTTTCCATTTCAGCATTTTGGAAAGGCCAGAAAGAAACTTGGACTATTCCAGGAAAAAATATTAGTCTATGTTTAAGGAAGTACCTTAACAACTGCCAAAAGGTCCAACTCACGACCATAATAACAGCATTGAGTAAATCTGATATGCTATTATTAATAGTTTGAGAATTCCAAATTCCTTATGTTAGTGATCTCTATCCTTTTTTTTTTTCATAATTTTGATGTATATTTACAGATTATCCACTGTTGGTTGGCATCTCAAAGCTAGGGATATACCTATGATTATGACTGATGATGTGTCCAGAGCTTGTATTCTCCTGGAGAGATATATACAAGCAACAATTAAATAAATGTGTCAAGGAAGTGTATTAGAGAGTGTATTAAGTACTACAGACACAATAAACAGGTTGGGGAGGTGCTAATTTTCATGGGGTTTGGGGAGGGCCTATTATTATTATGTAACATTTGACCTGAAAACTAAACATGCAGAGAACCTGAGTACAAGAATTCCAGGCAAAGGGCAAGTGCAAAGGCCCTGCGGTAGCAACATTGAGATTTGTTCAATGGATGGCGACAGAGGCTAGTGGGGCTGAAAGGCAGTGCGTGCACTCTAAGAAAGGTACAGACAGAAGAGGGACAGATGCAGGAGGCACACCATGGCTCATAGGCACAGCAAGAAGTTTGCTTTTATTCTAGGAGTAATGGGAAGCTATGGAAAGGTCTGATTTATATGATGATTTGGGCTCCCGTCTGGTGAATGGAGTGTACACATGTGTTTATGTGTACGGCCTCTCCGCAGCCGTACACATACAGGCTGCGGAGAGGTGACAAGAGCGGAAGCAGGGCTACCAGGCAGCAGGCTCCTGATCTGCAATAATATCCAGGCAAGAAGTGATAATGGCCCAAACCACACAAAAGCCACGGAGATGGAGTAAAGTGGGCAAAAGTAACATATGTTTGGAGTTAATATGGATTCTTGCTAAGAATAAGAATGGAGCAGAAAGGGGTGAGGGTGCGAAAGAGAGAAGTCCAGGTTTTCTGAAGTTAGGTACCATTTAATGGAGTGGAGCCCAGTTCTGTTTTGAACGTTAGGCCAGCGTTGGCCTGTGAGACATCTACCTGAAGAGGTCAGGTGGACAGATTGACAGAGGTGCTTGAAGCCCAGGGGAGAGGTCTTAGCCGGAGAAACAAATTTGGGAGTCAATGTCCTACACGGTTCCTGGCAGACCACCCAGGCACACACTTGGTAATTAATAAATGCTTATGAAGTGACTGATTGATAATTGATGGAAAGAGCAAGTGAGAATTCTGCATCTTGGAAGATGTTTTGAATGTCTTGGCAAGGAGCAGTCAGGAAATGCCAGCAGAGTGCCAGGTGCCGTGGCTGCTCAATAAATATTAATTTGCAGCGATGAATCCCCAGAAAGCAATGAGCTGTTATTTCAGAGCTGACCCTGCCTGGCTTTACTGGAGTCAGAGCCATGGTTCAGCTGCTTGTACCTTCTGTTCCTTATCCTCAGTATCTTGTTTCCTGGTGGCTTAATTCCTGACCTGGGCATCTTGCTTTGTTTGTAATCGCTGCCTTTTTGCCCCTATATTAGGAGAACACTGTCATCTCTCTGTTTCTAATCACGGTCTCAGAGCCTGCTCTTTACAGATTTCTGAATCTGCCATGAATCATGAACATTAATTGAGTACCTATTATGTGCCAGGCACCATACTAGACCCTTGACACATATATGCCCTTTATAGAACCCTGCAAAGTAAATGTTCACCCTTGGGTAAGGCCTTAATCTCCCTGAGAGAGTAAATGGTTGGCTCTAAGTCAGATAGCTAGAAAGTGGTAGAACAAGAAGTCAAATCAAGTCCAAGCTGACTCTGCAGCTGAGCTCCCTACCTTCCTGGATTTTCTGAGCTTGCTGGATTTTGCCTGCTGAATTAGTCTATTGACTTGACTCACCTAGCTCCCCTGCAAAGTCCATTAGGTGGTCAGTATCTGTTGATAGCCACCATGTATCAAGTCAGGCTGGCCTGTGTCTGTGGCACCCTGGAGTGACAGGGTTCCACATCTCTGTAATTGCACACGTTGCTTGGTGTCTAATGTGAGTGTTTATCACGTTGAACTGGAGGATCCTAACCTGAGAGAGGCCCATACTCAGGAAGGTATTAATCATCAGGGAAACAAGAAAGATTGAGTATACTGGAGCCACCCAGCCAGGGACCAGAGAAGAGGTGGGTAGGCGGACTGCACAGCTTTACATAAAAGGAAGGCATGAGCATATAATACTTAGCTAAGGGGTAAGATGAAACAGAAAAATGTATACAGAAAAAATTATAACTCATTGTTCAAAAGAAATAGCCTTTATGGCTTTATGCAAATGTTTTAATAAAGCTTCAGTCTCCCTGGCCACACACTCACACGGAAAGGCTTTCTGTCTTTGTTAGGCAGAAAGCATGCAAGCGTGTTCCAAGGCAAAGAGACATCTAACTAAATGGCATCTGTAGTAGGAGCCATAGTTTTACCATCTTCCAAGAAAAGGCAGCGCCTTCGCCCACAAGAAGCCAGGCCCTGGGAGGCCCAGCAGTTTGGGCAGGAATTATTTGCTGGTAATGTTATAATGGAGGACAAAGTGAACGGAAGCCACCCCTGCTGGCACTCCTCTGAGCAGCACCTGTTCTTCCAGTAAACTCAACCTGTTATCAGCCAACACCTGCCTGGCCGGATGGGCCCCGTGCTGCCTGCTGAGCAAATGGAGCTGATGAATCTCCATGTCGTGTTAGGCTTTGTGGCAAAATGGAATATGGAATTCCTAGAGGCAAGCTACTTACAGATCAAGCATCAACCAGCTACCACCTATGACTGAATCAAATGGGCAAAGGTTGGCAGGTGAAGAGCTTGGTTGACCAGACAGGCAAGAGGGGAAGAAAAGTGACACACGCACCATATTCTTCAGTCACAGCAAATGGTGACAGCCATGCAACATTAAATAGATATGTGGGGGACTCTCACCCGCTGGAGGTCTGAAGAGTTTCAGTGGAACCCTAGGAAGAATTTCCATGAGGATAGTCTAAATCCACCTATCTCCACTGCTAACATTCTACCTGACTCGAAGGACAACTGACATGGTTCTAACCAAGGATTTTGAGTAACAGATGATTTCTCCCTCTCTCTCTGTCTCTCTTACACACACACATATACACACAGAGGTAAATTCTTAAACATATATTTAATTACATCATAGTTTTGTTCTCTTTTATTATGACACTCAAGATGCCAATGGCCAAGTTCTTTGCTGTGTTCCCAGCCCTAGACCAGAGCTGAGACAGAGCGGCTCTCCACACGTGTTTACTGACTACATGGACAAATGAATGGCTACTTAGATCCCCTTTGGTCTCAAATGCTGATGCCTGGCCTTGCCTGGAGCCTTTTTACTAGCACCCCTAGACAGAGTCCTTAGTTGTATTCTAATTTTATAGATATTCTTTTCATTGAGATATTTAAATGCCTCTACCCCTCTAAAAATGGTAATAATTTTTCTGATGGAGAAAACTGGGAAATTTTCTAAATGAAAGGTAGAAGTGAAGGCCTTTTTAGCAATGTGTTTCTTAATTCTCACTGAGAACACACTTATGTAGTGCATCTCATGCAAATATTTATATTTATTCTTTTTCTCTCATTTGAATAATATTGAATGTTATTGAATTTGATTATTGAATGTCAATTAATATATTATTGAATATATCATTTGAATATATTGGCTGCAGAGTTAGTGATAGGACAAGATCAGAGTACCACATAAATGGAACTCATCCTACATTTTTTTCTTAAGCATCAGATATTTCCTCCTCTCCAGCCACATTCCTAGGATGAGAAAGTCTACCCTGTACTAAAATCAAGATTACTTGATGAGTTTCATTGCCCTTCATCAAAAGTAAAATTTTACATATGAAACCTTATTAAACCATGATAAGTTAGCGCTAAGTATGGGTACGTATGTACCTAAGTCTTTGAAACAGGTTCAAACCAGATCCAGAAAGTACTGACCTCCAAGGATGAATCACAAGAGTGCTGGAGTGTTGGAGCCTTTACCCTTTGATAAGGCATACATGGCCCTTTAAAAGCTATCTGCTACTCTATATTTAATCAAAGTAATAATAACAAAAATAAGCAAAGACCCTTGGGTCTTTGGTTTGAAGGATATTAATTTTGCCGTTAAAGAAACTGGTCAGGATAAAAATAGAAAATACAGCCTTCGTACTACTGCCTTTCAAATCTTGTTGGCACCCCACGTGATCAGAGAACTGATTAGTGAAGGAGGAGGGCTAGGGAATGTTCTGCGGGCCGGTAAGCATTTTTATGAGCTGATATATTTTTTAAGCTATCTCCAAGAATAAAAACATAGTCACTCTTCTTGTAAGCCTTTATTATTTTAAAATGTCAAGAAAATATGACAACACATAAAGATTTGCTAAATATGGTTATTGAAAGTATCCAGACATTTATTATTCTCTGTACTTTCTCTACTGGAAACATTTCATCATAAAAAATGCTAAAAGAATAAAAATGACATTAACAAAGAAAACAACCAGAATATGTGTTTTGGGGGCTTTACAAAGGAAGTTTAATTTGCTTCTGCAATAGTTAAACATGTGAGATGTCTGATTCCCAGTTAGTTAGTGTTTTTTAAATAATGTCTGATTTCAAAATATAGATTATGAAGATGTTAAATTCGTTGACACTCTAACAAACGTTAAAAGAACTCAACTCCCAGGAAATCTGAAATCCCTCCGTATCAACATAGTGCTGACAATTCATCATATTTAACAAGGTGTATTGGAAATAGCTGAGTACTGACCTCCCGAGGACAAATGATCCTCTTGGGACGAGGTGCCTCTTGCTGTAACTGATATACTGCCAAAAAAAGAGAAAAATAATTAGAATTAGAATATTGCAATGCACACCAACATGTCTTCAAATATTTCCACCTAAGTACATCTCAAGAACTGCAAATATTAATATGAAAACAAGATACAGACACATTTTTTGATACTGGATAAAGTCAGGTCATTTATATGGAAATTAGTCATCATGATGATAAACTGGCAAAATTGATTTTTTTTAATTCTTAGAAGGCCAATTTAGTTTCATAATTGTTACTGGCACTGTTCATTTCATGGCTTTCTTGGAAGACTAGATATGGCTAAAATTCTTTTGACTATTTTAAAGATGAAATTCTACTTATGAATACCTGAGCAGTAAGATCATATAATAGGATTCCTGAATTTAAATGCTGATGTCTCTTGACATTCCAGGGAAAGAACTGCCATTAGAAGAGGAGTATCATTCTCTGAAATGTTAGTTATGTATAAAGACACAACTGATTCTGTGAGTAAATGAAATACCAAGCCATTTCTTTCTCTTTTTTCCCCCCTGCCATTTTTGCCCGGCCTATCAGTTTAAATTCTCATTCATTCAGTGACTTCCCACCCATTATCATTCCTCTCTCCTGGGCCCTTTCACCTCTTAAATAATAATAATCCTCTTCCAACCTGCTTTAAAGATAGACTTTCAGGCTTGGGCTTTTTGAAAGCAGGTCATTGTATATAATTTCTCAGACTATTATTTGTGATTTTTCAGACCATAGTGAGTGATTTTTCTGCTGCTCAGCTAGTCTGGTTATTTTTCTTTGAAGGAAAAGCTACCCTATGCAGGTACCTTTGGGTTCTACTTCTATGAAAATAGAGGCTGAAAACAAACCAAGTTGATGTTATCTTCAGAATCCCAAAGAAGGAAAAATTAATTTTAGATGGAATAAATCTACAAAAAGTTAAAAACTAGATCAATATAAAGTATTTCTAGAAAATGTAATAAGATAAGCAAAATTTTCTGATTTATTCTTAGGTCTAAAAATAAAAGAGAAATTTTAATTGAAGGGCAGATAGTCAGATGGAAACAGAGATAAAAATGATGGAACATATTTTGTAATTATGGCTCTCCAGTGCCTTCGGCACAACGTGGTTATTTTCCTACCTAATTAAGTGCAGACTACCCAGTTTTAGCACAGAGGAGAAACTATCAAACCCTCCTGTGGATGTTGAAATGTGCCACAGTTCTAAGCGTAGGTTGCCTACACTAATGATGATGCATGTGCCACTTAAGGACAGCTGTACCCATATATGAAGGGAAATTACAGTTCAACGCAGCCCTTTAGCTCAGAAGGACACCAAAAATGACAGATATAAAGAAAGCTTCTAAACACCTCCCTTTCTGTGGAGAAAGAGCCCGCAGATCCTAATGGACCAATGCATGGAAGTGGGACCAGGTGGAGGAAAGGGGAGCTGCCTTGCACACGAGATCATCAACTGGGCAGCACATATTATTCAGCCTGTGCTACCTATTTCCATTTCCTCCCACGGCACCACACTCTCCTGATTTTCCTCCTTTTATCCTGGCTGCCCTTTCCCCTGCCTGTTGCTGACTCCTCCTTCTCCACCTGCCCAGTAGGTAGAGAGACAATTCAAGTATCAACTGTGCAGAGGAGTCTTTCTTGACATCTCTCACACCAGACCCAAAGATATCACCCTAGTCTCTGCTCTTATAATTCCTTGTACTTTCCTTTTATAACTTATCACACTTGGAATTCTGTATTTACTGGTGTGGATTCTCGAAACAATTCTCTCTCTCCCTGCATCTTATAGGTCCCATCCTGAGGGAAGACATTGTGTTTGTTTTTGCTCAGTCTTATATCCTCAGTATTTGTTGAGGTGCTATGGATATAAAAACAAATAAAATCACCTCTCTTTTCAAGAATCCTGTCAGCTTTGGGGGGAGATTCAGAAGTTAGAAATATTTTTATGAAATAGGGCAGTAAACACAAAAGGGGACAAGGTATCATCTATTCAAGACTGTGGGTTACCAATGTCCATCAGAAGGGAATAGTTAAATGTACGGTGGTACGTCTTCCAATAGATACCATGTTCCTGTGATAAAGATTGAGAAAGCTCTCTATACACGGGCATGGGATGATTCAGGGGTCCTCAGACTTTTTAAACAGGGGGCCAGTTCACTGTCCCTCAGACAGTGGACAGTGTTGGAGGGCTGTACTATAGTTTAAAAAAAACTATGAACAAATTCCTATGCACACTACACATATCTTATTTTGAAGTAAAAAATCCAAACAGGCAAAAACACCTGCATGTGGCCCACGGGCCATAGTTTGAGGATGCCTGGTCAAGATATTCTATTCAGTAAAAAGAGCAAGGTGAATATGCACATGCCCACCCCCCCACACACAGATAGGACAATGTAATAGATCAATGTAGCAAAATTGCACTTGTACTCCATGAATACATACCAATAAAAATAGATTTAAAAAATTATTTTTAAAAATTTTAAAAAAGAAAGGGAATAAAATAATTATATAAATCCATCTTTGTTTATATCTATGTAAAGAAATTCTCGAAGGGATAAGGAAGCAATAAAAGCAACTACATTTAGGGGATGAAAAGCAAGACAAGGACAGGAGTGAGGAAGAGACTCCTCCATGTATACCTTATTATATTGTTTTGACTTTTGAATCATATGTATGTATTGCTTAATCAAAATAAGAAAACAAGGCTATAGGAGATAAAGTTCAAGAAGGCTTCTTGAAAAAGAGGAACCATGAACAAGGGCTGGCCAACCAAAAATGCAGGAACAGTGGTGGGCATTCCACTGGCTTGTGCCTTCCCCAATCACCAGGGAGGTTGCATGGAGTTCCTTGATTCTTTTCAAAACTGCTTTTTAGCAGGATATTACCGTTAGGAGTAAAGAGCGTAAAGGGAACCAAAGGGGCCATCTCCTAGAAGCACAGAGGGTTGGATCTAAGAGGAATTGAAGAATGCACATATGGAGAATCCTGTCCTCTCTTTTCTTCCCATTGTTACTGCCTCTTGAGGCCAACAGGGATATGTGGGGGACATGGCGGAGTGGCTTTTGTGAACAGCGTTTTTTAATGAAGGTGGCAAGGAAAGTGGACCTGTTATAAAAGAGAAGCAGTTAGCGAAGTGCTCCTTCGTAATTCATAGCAAATATGCGAGCATCTGCTGCACGCCAGATCCCACAGTCAGGGCTACGTGGAGGCTTTGGGATGGATGGAGAGGCAGGGAGAGGAGAAGATGGCAGCATACTAAGTGCCTGCCATGTGTCAGGAACAATATTTTACTGAATTGTCATAAGAATACAGAAAAAATAACTGTATCATTATCATTTGTTAGATGAGACAACAAGTGCAGAGAGGTTAAATATCTGCCCCAGGGCATCCAGCTAAAATGTATCCTTTTGATTCCAAAGCCCTGGTTTATTTTCCCTATGCCTCAGGGCCTTTGCACTTACTGTGCCTTCCACCTGACTTGCTCTTTCCCAAGACATCCACACAGGCTCGCCCTCAGGCTTCACTCAGGTCTCTGCTTCCTTCTCCCCTTGTCAGGAAGGCCTTCCCTGACTTGGCTGTGTGAAATTCCAGCCCATCACTCTACTCCTTAATTTCATTTCTTGTTTCTTCACAGCATTACCATTAATACCATTAATAAATAAAAAGTGACTGGGCTCATGCCTGTAATCCCACCACTCTAGGAGGCCAAGACAAGAAGATCTCTTCAGGCCAGGAGCTCGAGACCAGCTTGGGCAACATAGCGAGACCCTCATATCTATAAAAAATAAAATATTATCTGGGCATGGTGGTGCATGCCTATAGTCTCAGCTACTCAAGAGGCTGAGGCAGGAGGATCCCTTGAGCCCAGGAGTTCAAGGCTGCAGTGAGGTCTGATCATGTCACTGCACTCCAGGCTGGGTGACAGAGCAAGACCCTGTCTCAAAAACCAAACAAACAAAAACAACCAAAACTATAAGTACTGTATTTCTTCATTTTGTGTATCATCTTCCTTGACTAAAACCTAAGCTCCTTGAGGGCACGGACTTTGTTCTGTCCACTGCAGTATCCTCGGTGCTTAGAACAGTGCTTGGCTCATAGCAGATGCTTAATGCATATTTGGTGAATGAACAGACTATATCTAATGGCCCATGGGTCACCATCTGTGCCTTTGAGGGGAGCCTCTGATCCGGTGAGGGGAGACGTGCATGGAAACACAAAACCAAGTCGGGCCAAGTGCTTTAATGAGGGGAAGAGGAGGAGGACGCCATTCAATTTACTCAGGTGGTCAGAATGGCTTCCCAAGAGGAGAGACAGGGACCTCTCCCTGAAAGATTCCTGGGGTGTCTGCAGGAAGAAGGGGGGTTACAGGTGGAGGAAAGGGCAACAGCAGGGAAAGGAAATAATGTGCTGACTGCTCAAGGAGAGGCCAGTGCAGCTGTGGAGCCAGGGCGTGGGGGTGAGGGAAGGCCATGCAGAGCTGGACCTCGGCTGGCACACTAAGGAGCGTGGATGTCCTCCTGTCTGCAACATGGAGGAAGTGACGTGTTCTGAGCAGAAGGTGACATGATGTAGTTTGTTTCAAAACAGAGGTAATAAGGAGAAGGCTATTCAAAAGAACAGAGGCTGCCATTTTCTGGGCATTTGCTATGTGCCAGACACCTGATGTGCACCTTCTCATTTAATCTGCCCAACAAGCTTCCAAGGTCACCATTACTGCCCCTCACTGACAAGGTAGTGGTGATGCCTGCCAGCTTTGAAGATGCTCAAGGTCACAAAGATAATAGATGAAATCAAGACCCAGAGACTAGATTTCCAAACCCCAAAGCCTGTGTTTTTCAGCCTCAGCCAGCAGTTCCCTAACACAGGCCCCGTGGGGAGCTGCTCACGTTAGACTCTCCCAGGAGCTGTTATGAAATACAAATTCCCAGATGCCATCCCTGGTGATGCCCACTCTGCCAGTCTGGCCAGGGGGCCCCAAATCTGTTCTTTTTGAAGCTCT